CCCTCGGAAAAATAACAATCGACAAAAAGCAAGGTAAACCCGACAATAGAGAAAATCTACCCAAACAGAATCTTCTCATTTTCTCATCTTCTCAAAAGATGAAGTTCCTGCCGTTCTGATGAAATACGTACGCATCAACAATTGTTATTGTTTTTAGTTGTTTTGTTGTTTTTTGTTTTAAAAAAAGAAGAAAATATGCATATTGTACACATTGTAGACGTACCAGTACATAATATGTATATCATATTCGGATATTATAGATGTAATTATTATTCATGATTTCGCAGGCCTATCAATGTTTTACATAGAGTGGTCACGACGCAGTGGAATCAGGTGCTCGTACATTTTTGGGTATATGGAGTTATTGGCATCATTTTAACATAAAACCTGTTCTTTGTCCTGATTTTGATTTGACGAAAATAAAAGACATGTACCTTACATCGAAGTCGAGACATTTTCGATTGAAATAAATAAATGGGGATCAGTGGCGTTAGAGGTAAATGTGTCATGACGCGGTGGACTCAGGTGCTCGTCAATTTCTGGGCATGTGGAGTTATTGGTATCATCTGAAAGCTTTTTCATTTGTTATGCTTTCAATGAAAATAAAATACACATACATCTTAAAGAGAAGTCAAGATATTTGCGATTGAACGAGGTGCCTGGTTTCAGAGACGAAATTAGCGAGAAAATGGCCGCCAAAGTTTGGTAACTCTAATAGCTAAAGAGTCTTTGAAAACTGAAACAATTCGTGCCTTTAATCAACGTTTTTCAGTATAATTCCCATGGAAATATGTTGGGTTTTTATAGTAGAGGGTTTTACGGCGTTCGTAACTACATAAGGTCATATGAGCGCGCGAAAGCAGACAACAGAATATTGCTAGAGAGCAGGAAAGGAGGTGAAAGGAGACAATTTTATAGAAGAAAATTTTTCGGTCGCTACCCGGATTCGAACCCTGGACCTTTGAATGAGAGGCCAACACCTTAACCTCTAGGCCACGAGAGCCCCGCTAATTTGTTTTTGTATGGACCTATAAGGGTTTGAGCCAAAAATCAAAGATTCATTAAAAATTGCCTTACAGGAAAATGCCCGTTTCTCCGATTTCGTTATTCTGACGAGCGCCTGATTTCACCATGATGCCTCACAAATAAATGAGCGAGAAAATAGCTGCCAAAGTTCGGTACTTCGACCGACTGCTGTAGTGTCCATGGAAAATGCAAATTTACAATTTTTATGCCTATGATCAATGTTTTTCAATAAAAGACCCTCATATAATAATATGTTCCGAAATGGACACAAAAGGTGTTGAGCTTTTTAAAAATCGATAAAAATTGGCCAATGTTGGAAAATGTCGGTTTCTTTGATTTCATTATTGTGAGGAAAGCGCCTGATTTCACTCAGGTGCCACAGAATAAATACCAATATTTCAAAGGATTTATGATGTAGGTGTTTTTAGCTGTTTGCGCACTTACCGTATTTTGAAAAAATATATTGTCATTTTTGTTTTTAATTGTTTGGGAACACAGTGCCTAAACATTGATCAATGGTCACTGGGGTTTGACTTATAGAATTGTTGAATCGGGGTTCCCACCTCATGTCCTTGGCTAAGAAGTAATTTGAAATGTTGTATATA